CACACAGACCCTTCCACAAGGGCTTAAGAGGTTTTCATGTATTTTTCAGGATCCAATTATGGTCACAAAATGCACTTGGCAAGTGAAGGAAGGGGACTGCTGAGTCAAGTGTGGCATTGTTCCGAGTATCCTGGTTTTCTCACTGTTGAGTGAAGCACAAGTTCAGCAATAAATCTCTTCCAGGAGAACGTCAAGCAAGAGGTTGAGCTGCAGGAAGACCTTGCTACAAAAGCAGCCCATCCCCCCCACTATGCATATGGACGCACATAAAAGGGAAAAAAGCCTTTTACAAGGGAATGCAACGTGTTTTTTTTCTTCAGCCCGTACAAGAACGGCTTGTTCAATTACTCATTACACAGGAATGCAGTTCCAAATCCTTCAGTGGAGCTCTGGGAACCAGGCTGAATGGCACTACCGTCTCAGTCTGATCGTCAATAAAGTCGATAATGGTCAGTTGATCACTTGCATGGCTGCAGTCTCCACCCCTGCTAAACAAGGCCTCTCAGGGGCATTCCAAACCTTCAGAGGACACGGCTCTCAATGGAAAAGCTCAAAGGCACCAAGAGGGTTCACTTGATTTTATTTATAGCTCTGATTTGAGATTTGACAGGCCAAAGGGCTGATTCTTACAAACATTTCTTTGGAAACAACACTGGAAAACCTCTGAGTATTTTCAGCAGCGTTATTCTTTTCCCCAAATGATTCAGTCATGCTTGTGCTTCGGTACCATGCAGCCAAAAAACAAAACAGGAAATTAAAACGCACTGAAGAAAAACAGACAGCTTTGACCGGTCCACTTTCTCAACAAATTTAACTCTCCCATCTTCCTAAACGCATCTAAACGCATGACCCCGAGAACCCAGCCAACCACTGGATGGATCAGGGGCCAAGATTTGGGTGTGTCAGTTTTAACGAATCTGTATCAAGAAAAACAGAACAAATTACTTGGTTTTTGTTAGCGTATGTGCCATAGTTTTAATATAAGTGAGGAAATTCTACATGTGCAAAAAAACTAAAATATATCCATCGAGTAAACATGTTACTTGGCACAGAATGCAGCGATCTGGCCTATCACAAGACGTGTTATGACAACAGCCTTCAGTACGACCAGGAGCCTTTAAATAACAGACTAAAATCTTTAACAGATTAATCAAGTTACAGTAATACTGGGTGGGAAGCACAGCAACTTAAAATGTTTCTTGATTTGACAAGTTTTAATAAAAGTTATGTTTAAGGGCATAATATAGTGGGTTGAAAAGCTGTTATTTTACATTTATTGTTGGGAAATGAACAAATCTGATCAACGCAGATTACAGTGACATTTATACTAACAAAAAAAGGTTCTGTTGAGCTGCACAACCCATGAGCTTCATTTACCATGACTCTGTGATCTGTGTAACATTCCATGATAAAATGTCAGCCTTGGTTATTACTCAATGTTATCTGTAACTTGCTTGAGAAAACAAACACATTCATACAGGCCCAAACCCAGTCTCTTCCTGTTGTTGCAGAGTGCTTTGTGTTTTTTGCAGTAGTGTGCTAAACTGCCCGGCAATCTTGTGACCTAAGATGGCTCAGACTGCTGATTCAAGATGGGGATCATTCAAGAAGCCTCTTGACTTGAACAAGCAATCATGATCAGCCAAAGGGCCTTGACCCAATTTTAAACATTCCCGTCTGTATGCAGGCTTTCCCAAAACTGGCCTGCTGCCTGAAGATGCCTGCAGTACACGCTTCTTCTGGGCTAGGTGTGACTATACAACCTCTCGTGATTACACGCCTCCTTCTGCAAACTGTGAATCAGCCACTAGATGCTTGGCTGATCAGTCAGATCACACCTATATTTCCTCTCAACCTGAGTGATGTCCTGACTGGTGGAGTGCACTCTCTGCCAAGCCCTTCTGCATTCCCTGTTCTTTCCTTCTGAGGTCCCAGTTCCCCCAGTTTCTCCAGATCACATAATTGAAGGCGTTTGTCTAACAGGCCTTTCTGGACATACAGGCTGCTGGGAACAGTTTCCTGGTAAGAAGCTGAAATACCTGTGAGGAAACACTGAACGACAGACCTTTTGGGGGCCCTGTCCTAAAGAGCATGCAAAACTGTGCCACTGTACTGGTTAGACTGGATGGAAGGGAAATGGCAGAGCTCTCCCATATCCCCACACCACACTGTGCCTTCAACGAAACAATGCTGCTGCCCAACATTCACCAAGGACGAAAATTAGGAAAGATGTATAGAAACCTAACTGCCTGAAATATTTCATTATTTGGCAAACTGTAAAATTCTGCAAAAAGAACATTTTATTACACAGCAATGTCACAAACACCATCTGATATGTTTGAAGGTCAGACTTTTCCCTAGAGCTGATAGTGATGTGGGGCTCCAGGCCTTTTGTGTCGCTGTTTTCAGCAGACTGTGGGCTGAGCAAGCAATAGCCAGAGAGCAGCCACTGTTGCATAGGTGCTGTCGGGACTCTCTGTGCTCAAGCATCCACACAATGTTTGATAATCACTTAGGTGGTGGCAAAGCCAGAGTCTTTTCCCAGCAAGATACTACCACCTTCTAAGTGTACTGTTTTGAGATGTTTGCCAGGCTACATTTGGAGGCAAGTTAAAAGATGATCAAAGGGTGTACCAGATGATTTAAACAAGCTAATCATTAGGACCAAAATCAAGAATAAACATTCAACAGGGATCGAGGACAGCAGAAGCGAAGGAGAGAAAACAGGACAGCAAAGAAGATGTGGAGAGAAGAAACATCATTATCACCCTCCTCTTCCCTTCCTTGATCTGATCAATCTTGGAAATCCGATTCTT